TAATATAAAAACAATATATATTTTATAGGATACTCCTTATAAACTGTACTATTAGTATTAGTATTATTACCAAAAGACTTGATTTCCAGAGAGGCTTTGATTTTATGAATATGATTTCTTTCATCCAGTCTAGTTAGAATCAGGATTTCTTAATCCAGGATACACCAAAGGATGAATTTTTTTGAAGTAATTTATTTTTTAAAACTTATTATGTTTAAAGCTTCTAGACGAGATGCAGACAACACGACCGCTCATTAGAGGCGCACACGGGCAACTGATTGGATTCCCTTCGTATGCAGTGCTTCTTCCCGCCAAGCTGTGTGCTGGCTGCCGCTTTTCATTTTTTATTTCACTTTTTAGTGGCTCCACATCCCCCCCAAGTGCCCCAAAGAGCCACCCCGGCAATGCTCAATGAATTTCCGATTATAAGAAAATCGCTCGCCCAAGCTGGAAGTAAACATTTCGTTTTTTTTTTCAATCGCTCACGAACTCTTGATGTCATGGCATGGAAAAACAACAAAATTATGGAGTGGATTATATTAATAGGAATTACAACAGGCCGGAGATGTCGGAGCCAGAGCCAGAGCCAGAGCCGGGAGGGTCAAGCCAGAGGGCTCACATTTATTTAATATTGTGTTAAATTACTAATTAAGTGTGCCACTCGAGCGGAAAGGGAAGAACACTTTGGGTTTTGAGTTTTGGGAACGGGGACAGGGAACGGTGATGTTACGGACCGTTGATGGTGATGTCATGAGTTATCGTTTTCTGATTGAAAGTATCGAGATAGTGGGCCCGGGCCCGACAGTCGACGACCATTGTCGCTCTCCCCGTAGGCCGAGAACAAAAGGCGCCGAACTGAGGCCCGTCACACGGCCTACAGACTGTCACCCTGTCACTTAACCACTCAGTCCATCAGTCAGTCAGTCAGTCAATCAGGCAGTTAGTCAGTCAGTCAGTCAGTCGCTCAATCATCCCCATGCTGCGCTCTGAATGAAGTTGTCATCGACACATTTGGTCGCTATCGATTTACTCCCACTTGTAGGCCCCATCGTGCCATCGTGCGTATGAGGTCAACACTTCTAAAATAAATAGGTTACATATTCGGTTCGACTAACAAAGAACCAAAAGCCCAGATCCGAGCGATCGATAACTAAACTGTGGCCATTGTTCCCGGCCAATCAGTATATACATATACATATATTCAATTTTTGCGCAAGGTTAGTGTGGCACCGATCCGTTCGACATCTGCTGGCTGGAGAAATGTGAGTCAGTTTGGAGCACGGATGTGGGTAAAGACTTTGGAATGCGGGGCCACAAGGTTTCAAAGCTCTAGGATGGGGCGAGGCTTAAGATATAAAAATATATCTAAGAAGATATCCTTCAAAAGCATCTGCCAAATTTGTTAATATCGCCAAGATTAATGTGCATTGCCCGAAAGTGTAAAAAAACAAGGCAGGAAATCTATAAAAAACCCTGTTCTATCTTCTCTCGTATAATATTATATATCTCCTCTGCATTAGATATATTTTTACCGTTTTGTGGTCTCACATGATTCGATGGGATCTTTATATATATTAAACAGTTTATATTCTTCTCCAAATGTCGTTGTTTGCTTTTGGCGGCCACTGTTTGTGTGTGTTTGCTCTGTAAATTATGAAGTAGCCTCAGTTATGGCCCTCAAAAATTCACACTTTCTTTCTGGCTTTTGGATGATGCACATTATTTTTAGAACATGCCCGCGTAAATAAAGCGACGGCCAGCGTACGTAAACAATGCTAACAGAAAAAATTATTTAAGCGCTTTTTTTAGTTTGCATTTTGAACAATTTTATGACCGGGGGCATGGCACTGAAAAGAGCTGCTATTGGCCATGAAAACCGGCCAAGTACAGACGAGTGATCTTCAGTCAAGATCATCACAATTAGATGTTGCACCAAATATTATACGAGACTCTGATTTGGAGGTGACATCAACGAAGTGGACTATCAGATTAGAGAACCTATCAAGTGCTTGAAACTTTTTTGGGAGATGACTCCATCACTTGATTGGCTCATCCAGGGCCGGTAATCACGGGACTTTATCGACAACCGCTATCGGACAATCAAAAAAAAAAGGCTTTCGCGTTACACCATGGTCTTCCAGATAGCCCCTCAGTTTGAGGCCGTAATTCCATAAAAGTAGTTCTCAGCGATTGGCCTGCAGCTGCATTTGTTGTTATTTTTAACCGATTAGCTCAGAGTACTATAGCTTGCTATTCTATATTTATGTTTGGCTCTCGATGTGTTTACATCACACGGCCCAGAGTCCGGATTCTCTGGCCTCTCTGGAGTCTTTCAATTAATTGTTTACAGCACGTTTCTCAATTATGTCGAATGAATAATTAATGCCGAGTCTATCACTGCATTTCCCAGCCCGTGCATCGGTACTATTATTATTTATTTGCCAACGTGCCGTAGTTCCGCAATGGATTTCCATTCCCATTAGTTTCGAGAGCTCAGCGTGTGAGAATCGGGTGGGTGAGTGATTTTCCTAATTGACTTCCAACGATTTTCATTAAAAAAACAAGTAGTAGGGTACTCCCAGGCTCCCAAGACTTAAAACCTGTCTGTAGTTACAAATTTCCTAAAAATAAACCAAAGATTCATTCTTAAGTCTTACGGATAAGCCCGTTTGGAAACTTGACTCGTCATTCCGATACTTGACATTTTATTAAATTAATTATCCGCTGGGATTTCTGTATAAACTACAAGCATGTTAAAAATAAATCACAATATCACGAAGAATACAAATTGATAAATGCACTTTCCATAACTCAGAATAACAAAGCAATAAAGGCACTGACTCGAAGACAAATAGAGCTACTAGAATAATTGACAAAGAATGCGGCATTTAGCGGAATTGAAGTGCCTTTGATAAACCCATCATGGAGAGTCCCCCCAGACGACATTTGCCCGGTCAATGCTTGATTTATTGTAGCATCAAAGGCCCCAGTACCCAGTCTCCAGTCCCCAGCCATCTTCTCAATTGAATTAAAGCGAAATAAAACAAAGCCAAACGCATCCAAGTCTTTTAATTAAACCCCTCTTTGTGTCTCTCGTCCATATATAGAGTCTTTAATGATCGCAGTTAGCTCTGATTTATGAGTACAAATTAGTTGACGCCTTTCCATAACCGATCCTCCCGATTTCAGTGCAATACTCTGCCAATCGCCAACACGTGTCGCACCATGGCTTACAAATTGTCCATGTCACGAAGAAGGTCAGTTGGCTATAGATCATGGCTAAAATTAAGTTTCTGCCATAACATCATCGACCACGAAGACAGTGGGAAGCAGGAGAGCGCGAGTTATAGCCAGACATTCAATGAATTGTGTTTTTATTTTATTTTTTTCTATAACCCACATCCACATACCTTGATTGAGTTGGGTGTGGTTGACTGCCAAAAAGAGTTTGCAACAAAAAAACGCTAAGCTCAAAATTAGGAAGCTAGATTACCCTAGAGTTTACCAAAGGGCGCTGTTGCATAATGTACGGCATAAGTAGAAAGGATATGAGGTAGGAGAGTAGGCGAGTAGAGATGATAAATAAGGTTAAGGATCAGTATTTGGTAGTAAGTATGTTTAATTAAATATAGATTCTAGAGGCCGCTGGCGTATATTGTATACGGCTCCATATACATAGATCGATAGATAGATCGGAGAGTAAGAATGGTATCTTGAATGGTGAGTATCGAATCGTAAGTCTAGACTCTAGAGACACTAATCTTTAAAAAGGTAACCTTATTATTAAATCTCCAACAAGAATAGTTAACAAAATAAAAAAAATCTCCAAAAGAGTAACAAATATTCGACAAACAAAAAACACCCGCTGGAGGCAATGTGCTCAATAAATATGTTATAAAAGTGACAATTTGCTGGCTTATTTATGACTTTATTATATGCAAATTGAGACAAATGTCCATTCTACAGCGTGTACTCGATATCCCACAATCGCACTCGATACTCGATGCTTGTGAGTTCGTGTTTACAGCCCGCTCTGACATTTTAATGCTTTGTTATTATTTTGAATTTGAATTTCAATTCCAATTGACAAAACGGAAAAACAAAGAAATAAATGCAATACACGCGCTCTCCTCACCACAAAGATCAAGTTCATTGAATTTTCACACAGTGACAGTATGGGGAGCAGTATGGCCTGAGCGAGTCCCGGGGTGCGGTGGTAATTTCATTTAATTGAATATTTTTCGTTTTCTGCTTTCGAGCGCGCGCAAAATAAATATAAATACATCCGTTTTAAAATAACGATGACAAAATCTCTGAAGAATCGAGAGCGCAACACCGAGAGTCGCACCGCAATCGCTGCCCACGGGAGTGGGCGTGGCCGGTATTGGCGCCCAACGTACTCGTAGCTTATTGAACTTTTATTGAATAAAGTGAATAACGAAGTGAATAACCCAACAAATGTCGAATTTTAATTCAGATCATGATTAATCTTTAAAGTGCATTTACCGAAGCCCCTAATGAGATTAATGAACTTTGATTTCCCATTTTTGTAATGATCTTCAAGGCCACTATTATAATATTAATGAATTGAAACATTTTCCTATTTCCAACCCAAGGTTGAAACTGTTTATTCTCAATACTCGCACACCTTTCGGAAAAGAACCATAAATATTTATGCGAGAGTACCCATCTGGAATATCTTTTATTTTTTTGCGACCTTGACTAAGAGCTTGACCCTCCCAATTGACAAGAAATGGAAGTGAATGATAAATTGCCAATTTTAAAGGAAAATTTTATTTATAACCTTGAGTTGTATGCCGATTTTTCCTGGTTCTTTAATTGTTTATGTCTTCCGATACAATATAGAGACAAGATCTTAACAGAAAATCGGGTGCTTTTAAAATAAATTTAAAAAAATAGTTTTTGTTTTAAATTAAAGTTAGTTTTTAAACCGCAACCAAAATTGAATAAAAAACTAAAAAACAAACTAAAAGACATACCCAAAGAAAAGTTGTGTGATCTGCGCGGGCGTCTGGCAGACATTGTGGACATTTAGGGTGCGGGGGCGGGCATAGAGCAGGGTGCCGGTGGGCGTGAGGGGCGGCAGACCTGCCCCGGCCAAAATCGCCGACGTCGAATTGCTCCGAATGGTGCTGTAGGCCCGGAAATGGGAGCTGGCCGAGGATCGCAGCTCCACGGAGGTGGTAGTGGTGGTGGTGGTCTCCTCGACTTCGTCCTCGAGGGAACTATTCGATGCCGGAATCTTGGCTTGGAGCACCGACTCGGCCTCCAGGTCCCTGTCCATTAGCAGCTGGTGGTGGCTGAGGGGCTGTGGGGTGGCGGGTGGCATGGTGATATTCGATTTTGGGGTCGCTGGCTTTCCGTTAACAGAGCGCGACTTGATGATGCCGTTGCTGTTGTTGTTGGTGGTCAGCTTCTTGGCCCGTTTGATGCTAATGTTGTTGTTAGAGTTGGTACTGTTGTTAGTGTTATTGTTGTTGTTGTTGTTATTGTTTGCTTGATTTGTAACGTAACGGTGTTGCAGGCGCATTTTGGTTCAGTTCTGGCTTTCTATTTTAGCGTTTTTTTTTTTCTAGATTCGATTGTTGGCATCGCTATTCGGCATTCATTTGCATAACTTGTCCATTCCGCGATCTTAGCTGGCCGGCAACGACATTGCTTGAGGTCTGAGGTGGACGACGCCGCTTTCACTTTCAACTGAAGAATTTATGCGAAAATAAACAATGTTCAAAACTGATATAGAAAGCAAACAAAAGGCAACAAAAATAAATAAAATTCAAATGCAGCGGAAACTCAAGAGTGTCAAGAGTGTCGAATTTTAATTTGATATTCGTATGTCTGGCTAAATAAATCTTAATATTTTATTTGCCCACTTTTATGTTGTTTAGCACTTGCAATGGGTGTATGGGTGGGCGTCTGTTTGGGAGTATGGGTGTGTGTTTTTTTGGTGAATATTTATGCACAAATATCTATATTTGTGCTTTTCATTTTGCACACAGATTAAATTGATTTGGGATGTTTTATTTTCTTGTTTCTTTTCAGCAGAGAGGGAGACTGTGTACGCGTTTATTTTATAAATTTAGAAATGATTTTATGCCACAAACACACACACACCTAAAGGCGCTGCTACTGCTGCCACTACTGCTATACGGGATCGGAACGGAAGTCAAGTATCAAGAGAACTCTTGAAGAGACACTCGCGCACACGGACACACTGCGGCGGCTCTCAGGCACTAACACTAGCATGCAAACGGCCGGCAGTACGGGGCGTATACGCAACGTTGTGAACGCGACGGGCCAACGCAAGCGAATGAGTCGCGATGTTCAGTGTTGTCCCCAGAAGTACATCGATCGCTGCTTTGCCCCAAAGGCCCCAAAGAGAGAGAGGCCCACAAAGAGAGAGAGCGGAAGAGAGCGCAAAAAAAAGAGAGAGCCCAGCACACGTTCATCAAAACAAACAAATTTGTGACCAATGCTGCCAAGTGAGTGGGAAGAAGCAGCAGCCAGCGCGCGTGGGCCACTCTCGATTGTTGACCATCCGAATAAAATTCAATTCACACAACAACTCCATATCCAATATACATAATACATAATCAAATCAAAGCGAAGGTAAACACCACAATTCACACTCCAAATGCAGCGTTTAAATTCAATAAATAAATTGCTCAAAAATTTAAAATCTCATTGGGTTATAATAAATTTAGCCATATTTGTGAGGATATTTATTAAGAATGAAATACTTCCTTTTTAAATAAAATAATTACTTATAAGATGTGAAATATTGTTTATACTTTGGCATTACTTTCTCTTTTTTTGTTAGTGTGGGCTGGACTTTCTATGAAAACTCAAATGAAAGTTAAGCCAACTAAGGCCATAATATCATAAAATATAAATATTAATTTCCTTTAATATTATAAAACCCATCAAGCAGTCATCAGGGGTATAACTTGCCAATGGCCATTACTCATGGCCAAAAAAATGCAAACATAGATTGTAGTTGACCAATAACCCCGTGACTAATCAAGAGACTCCCTTGATTAAAGCCTCGATAAGGTTTCGGAAGCATGCTACTATAGGACAGCAGGTACTATTCATTTAGGAGCCCATATTTACCTTTTATTGGTGTGTGATTGTCAACAGCTGTCTGTGGGCGGGCCCAGAAGACAGTTCGCGAAATGGATGGGGGGATATACTCACATCATCCAAAAACATCCAATAACGTATAGAAATCTGACTATATCTGCTCGGCCGAGCCGAAAATTTATTGATGCCGCTCTAAATGGGATTACGCGCGCGTGTAGGTGAAAAAAAAAAACCAAAAATATATAAAAAATGCTCAAAAAAAAAAGTATATTTTCTAAAAAAAAACATTGGTTTAGAAAAAAAAAATAAAGAGGGCGTTGCTACAAATTATAATGTATGTCAGGGTTTGCTCTTGGCACTTGTTTCGCTTGCCACGAATGCGAAAGTTCACAAAAGATTTGCGCACATGTCCAAGACGTACGTTTCGGCTTTGTTTTAGGTTTCTTAACATATTGCTCTGTTGGCCAAAAATACTGAACTGAAAAAAAATAATGTGCACGGCACCAGTCCGAGCGGAGATGCTGTCATAGACGCGCCTTTTATGAACATTTCGCGATGATGCCATTCGACTGTGGGCTGCTGCTGGGTTATCGCGGGCCACAGATTGTGGCCATAAATTCATCTAAGCCTAATTAATTGCTTGCCACAAGCTGGAACAAGGTGAAAACATTGAATTTGCGGTTCCGGATTATCGCGAAATTAAATTGTTTTCAATACAAAACAATACAAGATTGTGTTATAAAGGTAAACAATTACGCTGAATCGGTACTTGATTGGAAGTATCCCTTACTAAGAGATGAATTCTTTTAGAGCTAATCACTCTAGTTGATAGATTTTGCTAGATTACTCAGTCTACTATTAGTAGTAAGTATAGTATATGTGTAGTAACACCTCACCCACTCGCTTAGGTGGAATTGTGGTGGCGGTTCTAGGGCGTAGCTGCTTGATTGGCAACTGATTGCCACTTGATTGACAAATCAAGCTGCTCAAGTATTCAGTATTCGAATGCCTCAGCTTCTGGACTCGGCTATGGCGCTCTCTGCCTCTCTGATAAGTGCCAGTCGATTAGTTTCTAACATTAAAAAAAAAACTAACATACAAACGACAATTCAATCAGGTATCCATCAGAGAAGCACGCTTTTAAATCCATGCCCCGATAAGCAAATGGTTGGATAACAAAGCCCTCGCTCGCTCGGTTCCCAGTGGCTCTGCTCTGCCAGTATTTGCGGTAGAGTCGAAAATTTTTTTATCGCACGCAAACAAAAACGACCTTCGGTAATGATATGCCTTTGTATTTGCCATTTTAATGTCGCGCGTATTTCTTATGGTCGTTTATATGTATATTTTTATTTGTGTTTTAACATTAAGTGTATTTTATGTGTAATTTTGAAAATATTTCCTGTTCTTTCTGATCATACTAGCTGCTATATAGAGTACTGTCTGGCCAGAACACGAGCCATTAAGTAGATATGTACGAGAAGAGCTTTTTCCCACACACTGGTCTTAATCTTTCGCACGCTTGTCTTTTGCCAAGATACCCTGAAAAATGACCGATTTGAAAAAGCAAACAGGATTACAAAAATTTATATTTAATTTTTATTAAACTCATGGCATTAACTTTTCTTTATTTTTTTTTTAAAGCAGATTGCAGTGTATTTTGTAGAGTCAAGGCTTATTAGGTATTTGGATGATAACCGATAAGAAACAAATTAGTCATTTGGGAATATAAAAACTACATGAATGGTAGCTCTATGGATAAATATTGAACCAGAAAAATGTATGAATTATTTTTATTATAATTCCTTCTTTATCGTAATCGCTTCTTGGGAATACAACCTCTGTTCCATGTGTACCTTTCCATTGAGAAAACAAAAATATTTATTCTATTTACGCACAAACAGTGCCTTGTTGTTCTCACATGTTGATTATTAATTTTCTTTTGTTTTTTTCTTGGCATTTGTTTTTGCCAAGAAAATTCATCAAAGTGTTACATCCCAGTGGGCTGTTGCTTCCGCCTTTGCTGCAATTGAGTGCATAAACTTAATTATTGTCAAAGTGTCACAACAGCAACCAGGAAAAATGAAGATCGAGTGGACTGTGAGAGGTATAAGAGGTAATTCTGATTCATAAATTATTAAACAATGATTGTTTTATAAACAACACTAAATGACTAAAGATTTATTTTAAAAATTATTAATATATTTATGTGTCAAAGTTTTTATTTTTACACAAAATATTTATCTTGTGGCTAATAAAATAGTCATTTTTTTATGATTTTAATGATTAATGACCTTATATTGGAAATACCCTTCGGCAGGGTATAACAACTAACGGTAAATCAAAAGTAACCTTAAAACGCAAAACGAAGTACAAACAATGAACTTTTCCAGCAAAAGTTTTCGCCTGCTTTTGGGGTGATCACACACACACACACACACACACTATATCCCCAACTAACGGGCAAAAAGCTTAGGTCATTGACCAAAAAAAGAAATAACACTGCAGAGACAATGGGCGACCGGCTCTCTTAGGCGCTCTCTTTTCCCGAGCACGTTTTCGAAGAAAAAAAAACCAACGACGCCACTTTTGCTGGTGTTGGTGCATAGGTGAGTGGGGAGCACGCCGCACACACACACACGCGCGGCTAAAAGTTTGTCTATGCTGCCCTTTTTGTTGTTGTTCCCCCCGTTGTTTTGGGGCCCAGAGCGTTGTTGTTATGTGGGCACCACAGAGGCGCGCGCTTACGTCATTCATAAAAATAACACAGTGCTAAGAGAGATGAAGAGAGACGGCCCTCTGTCTAGCTTCTTGATTTATTTCGTGGGATTTGCATTTACCTGAGGAATAATTTGACCATTTTGTGCATCGCTATTCCCCGAGCCCTTGAGGCACTGCACTTTCGTTTAATTCTTTTGTTAAATCAGTTCACAGGACAGTTCCATGGCTTTCGATCCGATCCCGTCGACACTTTTCCGCTTTTCTCGGGGCACTCGAGCACTTGGCACATTTATTCGTTAACAACAACAAGGCACAGAGAGCTGGCGTCAGATGCGCTTGGATTATTTATAAACAAACGCTTGCATTACTGCTGTCACATCTTAAAAAATAGACTTCAGTGTTTGTTTTGCAGTGGCAGAGCTGCCTGATATATCTGTTTATGTTGGCGTTGCCACAAGGCTGATGGCTCAGTGCTGCCCCATCAATCTTACAGGTGATTCAGTGCTGCCGTATCAGCCCAAGGGAGACATTTTAGCGGTTTTCGGCTAGATGTATTATTTATCACCGATACGGCAGCATTGCTAATTCAGACTGCTTGCACTGCTTTTATCGGGATTAAGTTTTGTGAATCCTTGAAGATATTTGAATTTTCCGACATATCTGGCAGATTTGTGTGTGATTTTATTAAATTTGGCTGCTTATTTAGTTTTCAGAATATCCCTTGAATTTAATATTGTTAGATTGTTTTTAGTTGAAAAATAGTAATGCAAATACAACCGACCAACATTAAAATCCGGAAGAAAACAAAACATTTTCTCTATATCTATATTCGCAAGTGTAGACCGAGAGGAATGATAACTTCTAAAAAATAATACCTTGGGCCGTTTCAAAAAACCGGTTCTATATTACATACCAACACTTTAAAAAATATGCTCCTAAGCTCTCCTAATTTGAAATACAAAGTTTGAAATTTTTTGATAAACTTTTGAGAGAAGTTTGCTAAACTAGGTTTTTGTTAATGAAGCTTACAAGGTGGACCCCTTTCTGTAAGTTCTGTTCGGCGCCAAATCCATTGAGAGGAAATATGCATGAAATATATGGGAGGATACCATAAAGGAGCTCAAGTTTATTCTTCAAATTTTATTTCTTAAATATCTTTGTTTTTATTTACTACGTAAGAATAGATGAAGTAAAGTTATGTTTTTTTATTTTCCTTATCACACACTTTCAAAAATTGTATAGTATGAATAATTATACAAATTATTTTTTTATTTATCATATTAATTCTAATAAAACATACTAAACCTAATGTAATATACAACAGGCCCTGGTTTCTGAGGCCTACAACTCAATATAATCAGATATCTTAACATGAAAATATATAGATATTTCAAATAACATAATAACCCATGGTGAACAACAGTCCATGGAGTTAGTCCTGTCGGTAATGTGTCCAGAGGAATGGGCCTAAAAGTATTACCATCTTAATTTGCAATTTCCTAAGAGCACAACGC